CGAAGCTGGTGAAGGGTCTGGACAACAAGCCGTATGAGGAGCAGCTAAGGGAACTGGGACTGTTTAGTCTGGAGAAGAGGAGGCTGAGGGGAGACCTCATCGCGCTCTACAACTACCTGAAAGGAGGTTGTAGTGAGGTGGGGGGTGGTTCCTTTCTCCCAAGTAACTAGCAATAGGACTAGAGGAAATGGCCTCAAGTTGCACCAGGGGAGGTTTAGATTGGACATTAGGAAAAATTTCTTTACTGAAAGAGTGGTCAAGCCTTGGAACAGGCTGCCCAGGGAAGGGGGGGAGGCACCATCCCTGGGAGTATTTAAAAGATGTGTAGATGAGGCGCTTAGGGACATGTTTTAGTGGGCATGGTGGTGTTGGGTTGATGGTTGGACTCAATGATCTTAGAGGAATTTTCCAATGTTAATGATTCTATACGTATATATGTACATGTATATACACACACACACATATATATATGAATCCTTAATGTCAAATGAACTTTGGAGAACATCAACAAATCACCAAAATTTAACAAACCATGATGAAATCAACAGCCGTATACTGAAAAGAATCAGAGGACTAGAATGAAAACCACGTTTAGAATGTTTTCTTACGGAATTTGCTCAAGCTGCACATGCCTGGTATATAGCAATGTTTCAATCCAGTTTCAGAAATAATAAATAGGGTTATAAATGTAAGATGTGTTTGTTACGCACGTCATTTTCTTCTCTGTCAATCTTGAAATTTTTACAAAGACCATTTACTTGAATCTTTTTAAATTCCCTATATGGATTTATTCATGCAAAGTCTTTTAATTAGAAGACCACAAATTGTAACAGTTACAGTTGAATTGTATCAGTTACAGTTCAGTCAGCATACAAAATTGCCCTTAACTCAAGAGCCAGTACAAGGGATGCTTTCAGCACTAAAGGACAGTTATTGCAAAATCAAAGACAGAATTAATAGGGGTCTTTCAATTCAACAGCAGAAGTTTAATACACAGAGAGAGACCCAGACATACTTTTTTCCCCAGGACTTCAAAAAAAACCCCATACTAAGGTGTGCTAATAAATATACATTAAAAGATTATAAAATTAATAAAAAATAAATGACAGTAATGACACATGGGAGATGTTTACATTCCTAAACATTTCATTTATAGCTTTTAAACAGCATTGCAGACTAAATTTTAAAAAATGCAGCCTTTTTAGATAGGTTTGCAAGTTATTCAAGTAATGTCTACTCAAAGGCACCTCCGAGTATTTCTGTTTCAACAGCTAAAACTTAAATCTTATCTGGAAAAGGATGGCAGCATAAAACCAAGTATGTAAATACAGTTATACAGTTTAAAATTCTTAGTGCATATCAAAACATAAAAGCTCTTTGTTCCACTCTCCATTAAACTGGCATGTATGGCTTGCTGCGAGATGTACCTGATCTAGTCTGGAGATTGGCGTGCTACCTATGGTGGAAGTGTACTGTTGTGAAAAGAAACATTACTAGGGAAGCAGTAGAACATTTCTCTTCCATGGCTACATTCCTGGGGATGCAAGATAGTCAAAACAAACCCAACTGTCATCACTAGAACACCGACAGCAAGAATCAGGCAGGATATGAGGTTATCTGAATGGTTCCATCGCTCTTTGGACAGCCTTAGATAACACGCTGTTGGGATGATAAAAACAAGTGGGGTAGCACTCAGAACTCCCTGTGTGTGGGAAACAACAATAGAAAAAACCCTCAGAAGCATGTATATTTAGATGTGAAGAACAAAAACCTAAATTTTTAAATGGTTGTGATTAGATTGATGCAACAGTAAAGCCAGAGAATAAAGACCTTTTCCAGTGTTGCTATATGGAAAACTTTCTTTTCAAAGTCACAAATAACTTGCAATAATGTCTGTAAAACTATTTGAAATAATTCAGATTTATTTAAATGCTTTTGCTTTGCTGATACAGAATAATATTTTATGTTACAAGTATGATTAAATCTGATTACCAGAAGTTTCTCAGCTTCAGAAGTACAGTAAAAGTCCAAACATAATAGTTCTGCAATACTGCAACTGACTTAAAATATTTAAGATCATTCCATGTAGCTGTCTAGATATAATACTGCCTTTAAAAAAAAAAAAAAGTGGAAACATCATGTAGCAGTTCAAAGAATTCTCATCAATTTCTACATTTATTGTTGATTGAGGTTGACTTCCCTATGAAAGCAAAGCTCCCTTTGAGAGACTAGAACCCCAGCTCTTATCAAAAATTCAGCTCCTCTTTAAATGCTCTCTTAGATAGGGACAGATAAAAAACACCTGCTTAAATGCTTTTTATAGTAAAAGCCACTGCAGATTAACATGAGTCACATGCCAAAAGAGAGCATTTTTATGCAGAAATTTTGAACATTTACTTTGTCACATACTTAACAAACACTATGTTTCACCTTAATTATGGTGAGGTAGTAATACAGCCTACTGAGTATCTTTGCATCACTGTTTGTACAAACTTTTGTATATTTTTATGGTAGAATCTGTTAACAGTGATTAGTAGAGACATCAAAAATAGGTACATGCACAAAGTATCTTCTTCATAAAAACCGAGACTCTTAAGTATGTGAAGCAACACAAATCAGCATCCCAGTAAAAGAATAGCAGAGCAAAATCCCTGGACCCTTGACTCCTGTATGACTGAACAGTTTCCCTGGGGAATTACCACAGGGCAAACAAAATGGCTTGTGTTTTGTTTTAAAACCAGAAAGCAGGGAAAAAGCAAGCAGAGTCAGAGAAACAGCAGCAAATGCCATCTGTGGTGAAGAGCCAAAAGACAGCTCTTCTGCTGGACAGGAAGCCTGCTGAGAAGACAGATCATTTATCTTTCACATGTAAAGACTCTGCCTACTCATTTTTCTCTACTGGTGGATATCAAGACTGAACAATCTTTCTAAGCACAACGATTACATCCAATAAATACGTACAGCTGTATTATCAAATTCTCTCTTAAAAGGGGAAAAAAAAACCCCAAAACCTAACCACAAGATATGAGCTACCCACTCAAATGCCTGGCTATCAACTTTTATTTGTAAGTGAATCAAGCTATCAGCCTGACTACTGAGTAATTGCTTAGGCCTCTCTGGGTAAAGATAATGCATTGATGGAACGTTTGCTTTTGAGTGATTATTTTAAAACAATTTAATTCCAAATAGGAATCACAGATATTTATTCAGGCTAGAAAGACTCACTGGCAGTTCTCGGGTGTAAATTTATTCTTAACATACTCTATCATATAATAAATGTAAAACACATATACATATATGGGCACACATAGTTAAGTAGGTTCATTATATTAGTATTTGGATATTTGGCCAGAACAGGCATGTGTGTATGTATGCACACATTTAAATACTTTTATTAGTGTGTATATACACACATAGATGAATTTTCTGCACCTGTAATGTAAAAACAGAGGGAAAAAAAGATGGAAAAGAAATTACCAACAGATGCCATGAATGAAAAATTTTGATGGAAACACGTATCCTGACCAAACCAATAGCAATATTGTTTATTTTGAGCTAGTTATAATTTGGAAAGGATTAACTGAGAAGAAACTACATAGGTATTTATTTTAAATAGAGGGTAATTGGATAGCTTATCTGAATATTCAGTCCTGTTCTATAATATTAGTGCAAGCATGACCTGCTAAATCACTGCTACAAAACCACTCATTACTGCTCGGTTAGCAGATAAACTGCACTGTGGATCAGAACACTATATATGTATCATAATGTACATACAAGTACATGTATCACATAGCATAAAGAAGAACTCCCTCCATTTTGTTCCATCAGTTTTAGGTAAGCGTGCAATAAATGGCTTGAAATTGTCAATGAATGCATGCACAGGGACATAAGCAGGCAATTCTAAAATATTTCTATAAAGAAGCAAAGGCTGTCCTTGAAAAGTTTCCTCCACCTTCTAACTTTTATATCCTGGAGTATGATATTTCCACATCTGCTTTATTTATTAAAAATAGCTGACCCGAAATTGAAGGTAAACTGTTAAGAAAAACAATGTTTATCATAAATGTAGATTGGATTTTTTTTTTTTTTTTAACATTTCCTTTGATTAAATGTACATTCTGTGCCAAAACAGACTGACTTCATCTGGTAAGTCTACTTTGCTAACTAGTAGTCTAGAACGCCAGTAAACTACATGGCAGTTCCAGCCAACCAAAAAAGTTACATAAATGTGTTAAAACTGGTTCAAGTCAATAAGTGCCTTGTATGGCCTGCCTGGTAAGCTCCATCTCTGCTATGAGGCGGTACCAGACACAGGAATGTTTACTGGCAAACAAAGCAGTTTCCTCCTAAAAATCATAGACTCAGGTTATAAAATTACTCAGTTTTGCTCCCTGTTAAGCCCAAAGCAGGGAAAAATTCCAGTTACTATCTCTGTGGTCTCACTACTACTGTTTCTTTCTTTCCACACCCCACCGCACCCCCACTTTGTTTTTTGTCCCTTTGGCACAAGGCAGTCATTAGGATCTGGCCCAGTGTTTAGTAATCTGCCAACTTCATCAGAAGCAGGATTAGAGAAAGAAATGCCAGATTCAGTCCTGCTATACAGTTAGGATGAGTACTTTAGTGATTTCCACTGCAGTTTAAATACATTTGGTAAGTCACAGCCACTTGCCATACCTCCAGAACTGTTCTAAAGCCCAACCATACGAACTTTACTTCCTGACGTTCCTTCCTCCTTTAATTATCCAATTTTGAAGCAGTGAATAATTCCCTTTTTTCCTACTAAGTTTTCTACTGACTACTATGTTGAATTACGTAAGATTTCCAGTAGAGCTGTAGATTTTTCAGAGTTCTGTGTTATAAAAAAGTGATTTATTAAATAAAAGAGTACACAGGTTCACTTACATTCAGCTCTAAAACTATTCCAAGGCAATCATACACTAACGATATACCAGTCGCCACAGCAATGATAACTACTGTCATAACAATATGGAAAACAGTTGAGAGGTTCCCATGGAAAAACACATTGGCAATCACCTGAAACAGAACCACAATTTTAAACCTTGATTTTGCTCTTTATGTTAACAAACAGTTTATTTCAAATCTTATAACCTTAGGAAATTAAAAGAATGGGTGAGAATGCACTGACTGAACTTTACCTATCTTGCTTCAAGAAAACATTTTCATCCGCTTCCAGAAATAACTCATATCAAGCACTACTAAAATTGCAGAACACTTGCAAGACTGACTTAGTTACACCTGCAGGATTTAGAGTATACTTACTTTCTTCTCATTTGCCCACTACAGAATAAAAAACACTTACAATTATTTATTGAACAGATGGATTTCCTAGATGGAGATACTTTCACAAAGCAAAACTAGTAAGTATGACAAATACGCTATTTTTGGCTATTCTCAACATAACAACAGCAGTGACATTTATGCCAAACTTTTAAGCAGTCCTGATATTATTAAGTAATTATTAATATAATATTGGATAATATTACAATAAATGTAAAACAACATTATAATGCCAGAATCTAAACAGTACAACTAATACCTCATACTGTTGCCTGCAGCAGGATAGGATATGCTGGTATTTTTTACAGATCAACCATTGACTTCAGCTACAATATGTATTAATAATGTGAGAATATTATTAATATATATCAACATTTTTAAAGGGAGAATGTAATAAATTCTTACCTCTCTGGTCACAAAACATTCAAGGGGGAAGGTCAGAATTACAGTAACTCCATAACAAAACCTTCCAAATGTAGCAAGGTTGTCATCTCTACAGTAGTTTTCAAATACATCTCCTGAGGCATAGCAAAACATCAATTAGTTTGAACTTCATGTCATTTGCCTATTTCCAAATTGAAGTGTAAGTTACCGGAGTTACTGGCATAATTGAGACTTTCTGATCCCCTCTCCTGACACATATCAAGAAACTGTAGTTACAGTCACAAACTACATACAGGAGGAACTTTCAGCCTATCCTGCTAGTAGCAATATTTTTATTTCAAGTAGCATTTATCTTTCAGAAATATTTTAACATATACACACTAGCATTTGTTATCTGTTATCTTCCCCTTAGCACAGATTTTGTACGAGATGCTGGTGTTTGTTTAAATAAATATGTGACAGATTCAGAAAGAAAGCTTGTATATAAAAGATGCATTTCCTTTAAAAATGTAATTCCTAGAACAACAACAATTACACAAGGAAGACCAGAGAGTTACCTCTGGAGAACTGCATTTCCCTGATAGTATCTAATCATAGCTGGTAAGCTGCAGTGAAGAATTTCAAATATTCTGACCCTGAAAGAGCAGTATAAACATATGGATTATTACCTAGCAAATCTTCTTGCATTTAACAACAGAAGCATTGCTAGAGAAATCAAATCATCATCCTGCTTACTGTTTACCACAAAGAATCTGGAATAATGAACTCTGAGGCACAAGAGACACTGCAAAACAGTGATCAGATGATCTACGAGGTCTTTTCTATCCGATTACTATACTGTCTTATGATTTACTACTTTTAGGATCACAATGGCACTGAAGAAGCAATAAGGTGTACTTTAGAGAAAACAGCCAAAAGATTTTGACAGGGGAGACAGAAGGTAAGATGGAACCTGCTTACAGCAGAGTCATATGCTGAGGGATAGCTGCAGTCAGCGCTTTCTATACTTGAAATACCTCAGCCAGCTTGCACTTAGTCTATCTACAGTTGCATCTAGGATAGTAAGTTATTATGCATAAACAGCGCTGGAGGCAGAAAAAAAGGAGGACAGATCAACCAGTAACCCCCATCCTACAATTCCTCTGTTCTCAACTACGTGCTGCTGCTCATCAGGAAAGGAAAAAGCTTGGAAGCCTTCTCCTATAATTTGGAACAGCACTATTAAATAACAGAAAATCTGCTTGCTTATGAAATGTGCACTTTTCCTGAAGAAGCTAATGTACTGAACAAATTTATGCCTTGTTCTTCTGAAAGCACCTTTTCCACTTCAACAAAATGATGTTAAATAGTATGATGTAACATTGATTATATATATTTATACACGTATGTATATTCATATACATACAGAGGTGACAGTAGGATTAGTCACAGCAGAACAGCTGTTGTAAAGATCGGAAATATTTCTAAGTCAGAGCTAGGATGCTATATTAGCACAGACAGGAAAAGATACAGGAGAATGTACAGAAATATATTCCAGGCACCCTGTAGAAAAATCAAGGCAATTTTTGTTCTTACTGCTCTCTGCTAGTGGACCATGTGGCTAAATTATAGATATTTAGAACTCAGAAGTATTTTGATTACGGAAGTATTCAAAGGGGACTTTCACCGGTGAGGTTTACACTTGGGAATCTGACACCTATTAGCATGTAGCTGACATCTTTGTATCCTGTTTTGGTTGTTGGGTAATTACAAGGAATGTCCTAACTATTTCTGTCCAAAATTGTATGATTTTGGCATTTTTACAATCACTAAGATATTAACAGCAAAAGTCAGACAGAAAGGTGGAAATGTAAGGATTACAGCAACCACCAAAACTGAGGGATCGAGCAGTTTACCTTCTGTGTATCCTGTAAAAGTCATATATCCACATGCAGCGAACACTACACTGATAACAACAGCGAGTGAGACAGACACATGTGTGACTCGAGACCAGTTCTTTAATGTGGGTTCTTCCAGAGACCCATATATTAAAAAGCTGTTGTGGTTGCAGATGAATGCTGAAACACACATAACAGTTAAAGCAAATGTATGAATTCAATGCAATATGCATACAAAATAAATTTACGGAGTGTATATTCCAAGGTAGGAGAGAGACACAGCACAGTTTGAATCCACTCATTATTAAATACAAACATTAATTCTGCAATGAGTGGCAAAGATAAATGGCTTGAACATTTACTTACTTATTTGATTTGATGAAGGTTTATATTCATCCTGAGATGATTCTGATTACATTACCCTAAAATGCCACACCGTTTCCCACCCTCCCCACCTCCATTCCACCTCTATTTCCTCTTCCTCCTCTTCTTTTGCTTAAGAACCCAACAACAGTTTTGAGATTGTTTTTTTAAATCCACAGAGCCATTTGCTACTTTCAGACTTCCTATAACATCCATTTTAGGCAGCAGCAAGCATTGGGAGGCCACAGATTATCAGAGTGTTAACAAGAAGTAATATACCAGATCCTCCAGGAGGAACAGATTTTAGAATGAGGATAATGAAGCTGAGTTGAGACTCACCTGAATGGTTCATTGTGAGAAATGGAAAACAACAGGCACTCTCCAGCGAATGTATGCATCGCAGTCTAAGATTTTTCTGTTAGAGGTTATCCAAGAGAACTCAGAACGATCACAGCCGCCTCAGTTTACCAATTAGACTAAACCTATTGGTGCAGGTGTTTTAAGATGACCTGGACAGTGGAGCTGTGCCACACCACGGTCTCCGCTACAGCGGCAATAGTCTCTAGGGCCAGATGGGCAATGGATGGGGATAATGTCTTAAACCATAACAATTAAATTCACCTATGGATGACTCAAAGTCAACTTCATTTTTTTCTAAACCAGCTTAACATGAATATAAAAAAAATTAAAATTAAAAATATGCAAATTCTAGGTCCAAAATATTAAATAAAATAATTTCTTACAGTTGATCTGAATATTGAAAATACAAAAAAAATTACTTACCAAATGACATCACCCCAACAGCTTGTACTGCATTTGATTTCGCAAATATCCATGCATTTTCTGATTTGGGTCTAAAACAGACATTTGTTTTAACAGATTATCCTCTTTTCAACTATCAGTTATTAAAAATAATTTAAAGTACTATGCTCTAATACAGAACTGCTAGTCAGATCTCCAGAACTCTCTGAAGTAGGCCACAGTGTTCATCAACAATAAGTTGAAACTAGGGAGATACCCTTCTCACCTCCTTTGTTTTGATTAAAGTATTTCTGTAATCAGTTTTTACATCCAAAAATGTCAGCCTGTTTCAGTGACCAGTTTTGTAAATAAATTCTTCAAGTCTTCATATACCAAGAAACGGCAATTGGGAAGGTAAAAGCTGTTACTGATTCTGACCAAGGTTATCTCAACCCAAAATCTCTTCTGACTATTTAAAGGCAATTTCTTCCTTTGCATTTGCACATGCAATCCATGCAGTCTAGAGATACTTTTTTCCTAGGCTACAAATCAAGTGAGGCAGTTTGCCTTTCTTTACACCTGTTCCAACTATTCCTCATAGTAAAGGAATTCTGTTAGTTCCCAAAGGAGTGATAAAACAAAATGTAAGAGAGCATATGGAGACTTTTCTAATCAGTCAAGAATGTAATATCCCCCACATCTGCTACTCTAAGATATGCCCACAATTTTGGATCTGTGGTAACTGTAATTCTTAGAGGAGGACCACAGAAAACCATCAGCAAACTTTGTTAAAATCCATTTGATGCATGAACTTCCTCTCTGAATAAAGAACCAAAATGAAGGAAAGGACAAGGACACAAAACATCCTTTTCCAGAACTATAATTTGCTAAAAATATCAAATGAAATTCATACGCCAGTTGAACATTATATTTGTAATATTAAAGCACACACAAAGGAACAGTACAGGGAAGCTTGCTCTTAAAAAGTTGGCTGCTGCTAACTTTGCTCTGTTTTTATTTAGAGGGAAAGCTGTTGCCACCTGAGACCTTAGCTGCTATTTTCCTACTGCCCTAGAAAGCAGTAGGCACTCATGCCAGCTCTGTGAAGGTAACAACAGCAGCTTTGACTCTCCCTCTATCTGGTGATAACTAGCTGTTTTTGACAGCCGTAGTGACATATGCTATGCCAAGTCTCATTGCTTTCAAATGTCTAAACTCCACCCCCACCCACTGAAAGGAAAAAAGAGACAAAAAAGATGTTGCTGTTTCCCCTTTCAGAACTCATATCTTACTATTTCTTGAGAGCTCAAATAGTCAATCCTTCCTTTTCTGTATTGAAAAAAAACAGATTTAGGATCTAATGCATATTCAGTTCAGATGTAGAGCACCTTTTCGGCTCTTAAGCTGTGGTTGCTAAGCTTAACTTTGAAGTGAACAGAACCTAAGCATCAAAATCAAGTTCAATTTTTTGTCCTTAGATGCAGTATATTGTCTTAACTACTGTAATATACTGTTTCTAGTCTTAAGCAGCTCAATATGGCCCTCATAAAACATTCTCAGACTTAGCATGTAGATTTAATAAATACTATGGATGAGATTGAGATATCTGGCCTTTGCCTTGTGAAATAGGAGTTCCGACCCGCTATAACTGCTGTAGTTCCTTACATAGAATAGCCCCCCCTTAACTTGATGCCACTGATTTCAAATCACTAGAGATGTCTGTGGACAATTCATATTCATAATTTTGAATGTATTATTTTTCGGAAAACATTCACATCTGATTTGGAAAAAAACCAAACAATAATATTCCACAACAAAAATAGCATATAGAAAGCTAGCATTACAACTGTTCCATCCCATAACCACTAGAGGTCAGCTCTGATATCAAACATACAGAACAAAAATTTGTCTTATTATCCTTTGGCAACAGAATTTGTGAAAGTCTCCTTATCCCCTTCTCCATTAATAATTAACACTTAGGTTATCTAATACCCTATAAACCAAAATATTTTAAAATGCACAGAAATAAAGAATGCTTTTGTCTGAAACACATTTAATTTTTGTGAAAATGGTACCTGTGCAATAGTATAGCTATATCATAAGCTCCTATAAATAGGAATTTAAAAAATGGAATGTAGAAAGCATGTGAATTGCAGTGGAAACATTTTGAATAAAGTGGCCAAATAATCAATTAAAAGAAAAAAAAAAAATCACAGGAGCTCGTTCCCCCCCTGCACAGTGTTAGCTTATGCACTAGCAATATGCAACAGACCAAAATACAGCTTTGCTTTATGGATGAATCACAAATCAGATTAGGAGTATTATTTGGGGGAAAAAAAATCCAAAAGAACAAAATCCTGCTTATTTAGCAGCATAAAAGATAAATTCCTTCCATTCTAGTTGCGGAATAGAGGAAGAATTTCAGATCCATGATTTGAACACTACCAGCAGATTGCAATGTCATACAACGCACGTTGGTACAGATGACATATGCAACAGTATATGACTATTTCTTACAGTAAGTCATATACTGCTGCATGTGTCTTAAAAAACATTTTCATACCTTGGGAATAGAGGGATCTTGCACAGATGTGATATATAAACTAAGAAGTGAAAGCAACACAGTAATAAATTTCATTTCTGTGCGTTTAGAGCTGAGAGTCAACAGCTCTAGAGTTCTGACCATATCAACAGCAAATCACCCCCAAGTCCAGCCTGCAGGACGTACAGACTTATGCAAAGCTCCTGGAAAAGGGTGCAGGTGACATGAAAGTGTCTATATAAAATACGACTTCACACTAGGAAAGAGAAAATTGTGTCAGGGAACAGTAGCTGTTAGTTATGGAAGAACCATACAGCGAATAATCACTTAAAACGACTCACAAGGGCACCTAATGGAAATATCAAGTGTCAAGGTAAACATACATACTTCTATATAAATACGTGCATCTATGTAGGCAGATGCATATATAGGCTGAAAGAGCCTACCGGAAGAATACCAGGTTAACACTATAACTATTCTGCTTTTTCAATCCTGCTGCTACTGTTCAAGGTGGATTTTGGTTTTGGCTGGTGTTTGGTTTTTTGTTGTTTTTTTTTTTAAACAAGGACCTTTGTTCTGACCAGTTTGACCTACATTCTTGTTAGGAATTGTTAGAGGAAGATTTTAACTGCTGCTCATACAAGAATAGCAGTAGCTGCGAATATCCATGAATGACAAAAACAGCTAACTTACTGCTCCTCACTCAGTGTATAAAAGCACAGGCTATGCCTGCATGAACACAAAGGTTTTTTTATGCTGGAGAAGAAGGAGTAGTAGTTAGATGAAACACAATGAAAGTTAACAGAAGAAATACATTTCTGATACTAAATGAATTTGTTGAGAGCTGTACTGTCTATCATATATAGTAGAAGTTGTAACAAAAGTAAAAGCTGAGGGGTAATATAACTGTAATTCTTGGAACAAAAATAATAAAACATCGAACAAAAAGACATTCCAAGGGAGATCCCAGACAGGAAAAAGGCTCAGCTGAAAGTAAGACAACAGCCAGACAGACTGACAATTAGAACTGTCTGTACGAAGGTAGTGAAGCCTAGCGATGAAGAAAGCCTAGAGGTTAAGAAAATAAGACTCTACTCAGTCTTCAGGGAAAGTATAGCATAATAAACATGCTAGTGAGTTCAAAAAAGTTTTGAAAATATTCGTGTTTATCTACATAAGAACAGGGGAAAATGAAAAGAACAAATGAACCAGGCAAAGGTTAAGACCTCCTAACAGGGTAAAAGGCATTTCACATCCAGATCATGAGTAAGAGTTGGACAAATTTGTTTGGCAGTCTAAAACAGCATACCTTCTACTTCTTGTAAAACATTTACAGTATAATATTGCCCATGTTAAGATCCATGCTATGCAAAAATCTTTTCTGTCTTTTATGTAGAAATGCTGCCAAATATAATACAGCAGCAGCGTGCATCAGAAGCAAAACAAGAGAAATGTACATCCCTGTTCTCAACCCAGCTTGCAGGAATGAAACACTGACTGAAAAAAAAAGTTAATTTCTAGAGAGGAAGCAAAGTCGTATGTTTGACAGGAGAGCTACATGTTGGAATGAGCAAAAGACTTCCATTGTTTTGGATTGAAGATCAGTTATAAACCACCAAATTTAGGTGCAAACCGGCAGTTACCAAAATAATCCAGGAACACATGGCAGATTAATTCAGGTTTAATTCAATGATTCAGACATTTAGGAAACTAATTGTAAAATTTCAATTCAATTCTATTCTAAATACCTTTTTAGTTCTTGTTTAAACTTTAAAAGTTTAAAGATACTGAAAAAGTTTATACATACTGAATACAACTTCAGTCAATACAATGGAAAGAAAATGAGTAATGCTCACATCAGCCTTGAATTTTATATTAATCAAAGTCATCTTGGTTGTTAAAGAACACAGATGAGGCAAAGCTATATGTCATTCCCACTTAGAGCTGCTTTAACTCCTCTTTCTTCCTTAATGAACTACTTAGCAGTTCTGTAAACATACAGTAGCTTAGGTCTTATTTTTTAATTTCATCACACATTAAAGTTTATCTTTGCTTACTATTGGATTATTCATATGAAGGAAAGAATCAACTTTCTACTTTCAAGTTATTTTCCTGAACACTTGGTGTTTCATCCCTGTGATCAGCTGCCAGTTGAGTAATTCTCACATCCAATTTATGTGTAGCAGATGCTCTTGAAGTTTCTCCTAGAGATTTATGTATTATGCAGACACTGACATGATGACATTCTTTCCAGAACACCATCTATCTTTATAAGCTACATAAAATATTGCTTTTTACAGCAATGAATGTTAGTTTCAGCTTTGAAGCATGAAGTTATTTTATGCAGTATTAATATACTGCACATTTACAGTTTGAGGTAATTCTAACCCATTGTTTTTGATCACAGTAGAAAAATACCCAGCTATAAGCAGGTGGAAATAAAGTAAAGATCATCAAAATGTATTTTTATCCAACATCTTAAACTACTGAGAGTAAACTCTGGGTCCTGAACGCTGGATTTTATCTGCAGGTTCATTATGTCCTTCAGGCAACAATAATCATATGGATGATATTAATCAAAAGCAAAACAAACAAACAAACAAAAAAGTACCTCAGTTTCATATTTGTTGTAAGAGGAAATAAATTAAACTAAATAATCCCTCATCATAAATACTTTTTTTTTTCCTGAGAACTAACAAGAAAATAACATTCCTGTAATGTCCCTGGACAATCCGCTCCACTCCCAAAGCAACTAAAAAAACCAAATAAAATAAAAATGCAACACTTCAAAGACTTACAATTGCTGTTTTTCAGCCTACAGTTTGAAGCACATCGAATCATTAAACATAGTAATAATGTTGTTGTTTCGCTGATGGTCTAACAAATTGCAGAAAGTTTCTAGGAAAGATAATATTCTCTATTGTCGAAATAATAGATACAATTTTCAACTAGAACGTGAATTGCATTTAAGCAAAAAGACAGTTTTATCATTCCCAAATAATCTTCTTGTACCTCTCAAAGGGAAGCAATCTTCGCTTTGAAAAAAATCTAAAGGTAAGTGAAAACTGATTACTACTCAGAGAGTAATCATCGAAGTGGGAAGATACCTGAATGGGATTGCAGTGGAACCTGACCTGAGTCCAGCACTTCTGAATGTATTCAGCAGTAACTTGAATGATGGAAGAAAAAGTAAAAAGCATCCTTAACAGAAAGCATGAAATGTGCAGTTAACACAAGCATGCTAGAGAACAGGGTGAAAAAAGAAAAATCATAAATACTTTGGTAAATGGAGAAATCATCTGATAAAGCAGTATTCAATTCTGTAATGACAAATTTCCCCTACAGTTATGCAGGGGAAAAAAGGCTTCAGGAGAACAGGGCAGGGGGAAACAAGTGAAAAAACTCCAAACTTCATGAGAACAGAGTAAAAGAAAGGAAAAATTGCCAGCTTGCAGTTCTGCAGAGAAGGGCTTGGTGCTTCTGTTAGACTGCAAACTCAAGGCACGTCCACAATGTCATGCTATTTTCCAAAGAGGCAAACATCAAACTAGGTTATGTAAACAGGAACGTGGCAATCCCTAAAAGATACAGTTGAAAGGGACCTCAAGACACTTTGCATGTAAGATACGTCAATCTTTCTTCTCTGCTTCTCAATGGGAATACCACAGGTAGTTGGGGCACCACAACATCACTTTAATTCAGAGAGAACTTCAGGCAGCCCTTGAGAATGATCAGTAGCACAGGAAATGACAAGAAGAGAAACACTAAAGGAACTGTGTAGTCTAGAAAGGATTACCAAAGGGGGACAAGTTACAGCTCTTCACAGGTGTTTTTTAAGCATTTGAAAAAGAATAGTTTGCTGTCCATATCCACTGTGGTTAGGCCAAGAAGTAATCAACATGAAATGCAGTAAGGGAGACATATGATACACATTTAGGAAGAATTCATAAGAAAAGGCTAGTTAAGAACTGGAATGGGAAATCATGGAATTGCCGAGAACAAACTGGACAACCACCTGTCATCAATGACAAGCATACAATCAGTTCTGCCGAGTAACAATGGTAGGCATTAAATATTCTCTCTTGGCCCTATCAAGCCTTTCTCTCGGATTGTACAAATTCTTTTCCTATATGACAGATCTGAGGACTGTGTTTCATAATCATGATTTTTTAAAATCTCTTTGAAAACATCAACTTCTATTTTATTTTAATACGGATTTACAGTAAATGCGTTATTTACTTGTTTCAGTTGTTATAATACTATGATGGGACCCATGTTGAAATGCATTAATCTTCTTTATTCTCACTTCAAAAAAAGAGATGGCATACCATTATACCATTAACAAAATATTAGGAGAGGGTTTTAATAATTGAAGTATATGTCTATTTCTAACTGTAAAATACAAATAGTAAAAATAGACATTGATAGAATGTTTGTGAGGCAAAAAATTCTGATTAACAGTTTATCAACTTGCTAGATGCATTTTTGAAAACAAGAAGTGTAAAGGCAAAAATGGAAGTCTCTAAAGAATTAAAAAGTAAAACTTCAAGAATCACTCAAAACCCAGCATTACTTATTGTAAGAAAAAATAAAAGCCATGCATTCCATAATTTTCAGTGCATCACAACTGTTGAGAAGAAATGTTACCATAGTAACAAGATCATCAGTAACCATTATATATAGCTTCCTCCTTTTTTGACAGGGGATTTTGAGATTACCCTTTCAAATACCCCTTTAACACACAGTATGAAAAACATGCTGCTTCAGAAAGATGGTGGGGGGAAAGTCCCACACTGTTCTGAGTGCATCATTTTATGGATGATAGACAACATCATCTGGTACAACTTTAGAAACTGCTATTCTAGCCATCTTCCTAGCATTAAACATGGATGCCCTGCAATTAACCCACATATCACAGCAGTACGACAAATGAACAATTACGTGTAACACTGCTGAAACAATCATGGTGGAAGAATCCACTTCCTACAGAAACATTAGAAATACTATATAAAACTATTCCAATAAATAAAAAAGCACATTCAGAAATAGAGTTTGTCATCTTTATTAATATATCTTCACATTTAAAGGATAAGGAAAAAGGCAGACCTTCTAGGCCATAAAGGAAAGATAACAGTTTCATAACGCTTTCTTGCAATATTATTATAAAAATGCCACAACACAGGTTCATGTGTACTAAATTGTCTAGAACACTCCAATGTCCAATGCTAAACACTACTTTCAGAGTACGAGTGCTGGAAAACAGTTTTGCATGCTTATATTGTTGTTTTCTCAAATGACAGAATAAAGTTTTTATTACTGTGTTCTCTTTTTTTTCTTTTCATTATTTGTATTCAATTTTTATTATGAAATCATTATATTAACAGAAAAAGAAATATTCCTGAGATACTGTCTATTTTAAGATTGTAAATATAGGCCATCTGACAATAATGGACAAAATTAAAGATTTCTCAAATGACAGACAACCTCACATGCCCATTCAGGAGCCACCTGCTATTAGCCATATCACCCACAATTTCCAATTAATCTGTAGGTTTTTTGAGACTTAATGCAATAGAAGGAAAAAAAAAGGATAAAGTATGTTTTAGCAGTTCATTTTGTGTTACTGTTAAAACATTTATTTTTTCAATTATCTGTCTCTCCTAAACCAGCCATGTTCCAAAACTATGCAGATATATGTAATACTGAAATAACAGATTACGTATGATCAAAAATTCACTCTGTGGCAAGTGTAAGAATACTCACACTTGTGGACTGAATGTTACTGTTCTCACCATCACAATAATCAGGATGACAATGGTTAAAATCAGAGAAATAAGAGATACCTGTAAAGGCAAAACCACAAATTCAGTCAGTAAGCTGATGTAAGGTTGTCCTCTTAGCAGCATAAAGTACTTTTTTTTTTTTAAGAATAATTAACAACCAAGTAAAGTTCTAAATATCATGTCAAATATTTATAATTAGAAAGCTTGTCCATCTTTTAATTTGTTATTTTTTTTGACTAACTAGCCAATTGCAACTATTTGTCTAATCTTAAGTGATATTCCCATTTAAACATTTCTAATCAACGGTGCTCAGCATTTCAAGATCAGGCCTATATCGCCCAGCACTTTACAAGATTGGAGTTCTACTAGCAGTAGATGGAAAAATTCCAGCGATTCATATGGAGACCAAAGTTTTGCTTAAACTATTCCAAGTTTTTTTCCCCAAGATATTTCTTGGGACAGAAGACAGTCTGAACTTCTAAAATATTTAACATGCTCTAGCCTGCATGCTATGAGTGCAAATACATTAAGTTATGACTGGCACTTATTTTGTAAGAGCATACAGAAAAGTAAACCAAAAATCAACTGCTATTATGATTTACCTTTCCCAGTTTTGCTATGTCTCGATATAAAGATAAAGGCAAGGAAAAGATGATGGTGGTAAGAAGAATTATGAAGTTACGGTCAATAAGCACGTTATCTGGTCCAACTAAAGCAAAAAGGAAAATAATTTATTTCTCTAAGAGACTGACATGAGGAACAGATTAGTTACATTTGAAAGGCTAGGAGTAACAAATTCTGATGCTGACCAGGCTTTTACCCCCTTTATTCAAGCTAAGTAACACTGAAATAAAGACTAGGCATTAACTAACTTGAGGAAGCCATATACACCATGTGCATAATCACAAGAATTCTGCAAATTCAAACCAAATGCTAACATATGGGATATATTATACCCATATATAAACTTTGGAAGTCTGGCATTTCTACATATAGATTACTATTAATTTCTTTCATCATGCCTGGGTCAATGTTGGTAGACTGCAAGTGAAACATTCTACTACTTCTTTCTGCCATTTACTCTTCAGGATTTTTTGACACTGTGTGTTGACATCAATTACTGTGCTATTGAAGATAAGCAAATTCTTAAAGAATGATCCTAAAATAAGTTAACTTTGAGGTTTCTTTTAAGCACCTCCTTTCTTGCTGTCAGCTGGCTTCCACTTGCAAAACACAGATAACCATGTGAACGCAACAATAATGTTATAATATTCCCTACAATCAGTGGGATTTATTTGTACAACTGGTGTTTTTTTCAAGCCAACGACAACTTAAAATAAAACATATCACAGTTTCAGGCAGGCTACCATGAATCATGGGCTTGAATGAAAGCTTGCTGAATAATTATGGCTGGAAAGTGACTGGCAATTGACATGGAAAGTCTGTGTTCAATTCCCTCTATTCAGGAGGTTATAATGCTTTCCCACCTCTTTCCAGGCAGGCATTCTACTAGGCACGTGAAAAGATGTGCCATGCTGGGGGTTCCTCCAATTACAGAAGTCGTACTGTATATAAATTATTAGATATAATAATGATGATCAGGTATTCACAGAACAACAGAGTGTGACAGTTAAAACTGTATCCACACCTTGAAGGCTTCACCTGCTGAAAATTATAGTCCTTCTGTGGAAATCAAACAGTTCATACAAATACTAATTTCCACTTCATTGCAGACATGTTCTTTTTAGTTTAATTTGCCAGTGAAGAATATTTCAACTTAGCTGGCTTTGTGCTAAAGTAGATGACACAAATTGCTCCAATGATTCTGCTGTGAAAACTTACAGCAGAGGAAGGGTAACAAGTGCATGAGTTAAAAGCTCAGAATGCCACATCTGGTTTTGCAGTGAGTATCTAAGAGAAAGTTACATACACAGTTCATGACTATTACATATATGCTTAAGTAAGCATTAAATCCATTATATTTATTTGCAAGTCATCTAGAATTATTCACTAGATAAAGTGCAGTTTCAGTACTCAAATGATTATTACAGGAAATATCTAAAAAAGATAACAAAACATGATGACCTTGTAAATATACCACTGTGGAAGACTCCTCCTATTTGCTTAGTATTTCAATGAGGCATGTGGTCTCTTCACTGACACCGAGTCCAATGATAACCAAGGACTAGGTTTCATAGTTTTTATTTGAGAAAGGCTTATTTTAAAAAAAAAACCACAAACCACAAAAAAGCACTCATACAAATATGTTTCAAGTTCTTAACCTGAACTATATTTAAGAGTAATTTAGAAGCAAAGTAACAGGTAGGACTTCATACTGACACAGGATGCTAACCCCTAAATACTTATGCTATATTCCTATCCAATACATTTTCCCCGTTCTGAATTTTTTAAATGCATCTTACCTCCAGGAATTCTCTGAAAAACTTTAGTTAAAGTGTCTCCTGTTATTATGTTGTAACTGATCATAGCTTAAAGAAAATAAAATTTTTTGTTAGCACAAGTCTAATATGAAATATTTGATAAACATTTAACACACATATTTTGTAGACTTCAGGATTATATGCCACTATCCCTCTTGTATGAATTCTGGCTAGCACCAATAACTTCTAAGTTTCACGTTTAAAACAAAATTTAAAAAAATTATTTAACACTCCCCTTTATTTATTTTTTTAAAACAGGTACAACCTAAGCAAGAATCTAGTCCGATAAGCTAGGCCGTTGTGCTGACTTGCTATATAAACTTATTTCAGAAGAGGGAAAAAAAGGCTTTTTAAATTTTTTTGTTTGTAACAGCAATTCTTTGCCAGTTTATTTTCAAATTCTTATTTCTATCTAGTAAAGTTCCCTTGTTAGTCTAATAATCAGTCCTGCAATCAAGTGCACAGGACTTCCCAGCTCATGTAAAAAGTTAGCAAAATCTTCAAACCAGAAGAAAGGAGGAGAAAATAGGTGAAGATATCAGATATGGACTTCCATTCCTTCCTCTCATTAATAAGACTGTGGCCTTAACATTCATATTTCATTCTTATCTTATTCTACACTATAAGTGTGTACATGTGTGCATGTGTGTGTACACATACACACAAAATATATTTATACACTCATGTGGTCTTCACCATTTAGACAGCATACATATAGGTATTGACCTTAACTAATGCATAAATATTCACTGTTGTGAAATTGTAAGACATTAATACTACTTACAGAAATAAATTCAAGCACATACATATGCATAACTAGTTCCATGGTAAGGACGAGATCTTTACAATCCTTTTCCATATTCTCTATGAAGTAGTAAACATACTCTTTTTTAAATCAACATTTGTAACATTGTTGCCTGCAGTAAGAGTAACTTGACTGCCTTAAAAATCTCAGTTACCTGTAATAAATTCAAAATGATTATTCCCAAAGTAGGAATTTTGATCTGGGACTCTGTGGTCACTGAGTCCAGACTCTTGGCATCTCAAGTCACCACCTCTTGCAGCCCCATGTGTGAAAATATCAAGCTTATTTAAGAATTGATTAAATGATGTTACTACTGTAAGGGACAGATTCAGAATATCACTTTATTTTAAACTTCTGGTCTAATTAATTCCTGCCCAGATTATACCTGTTTGTTCTTTTACTATTTCTTCTTCAAAGGGGTTTTGACTGCCCAATTTCCTAGTAGCTCATTGGGTATGAGGCTGAATTAATGCTTTTGAAGAGCAATGACAGCACACAATATTCAAGCAAGATCTGATTAGTGGCTTCTCCAATGACAGTAATACTACATCGTTGGAAAAAATATTCATTCAATATACTCCTAAAGTCGTATTTCCTTTTGTTTTGGGCACATCAAATGTGTGCTCTGTTACTCATTCTAGAACTGAATCTCTTCTTTGCTATTTCTCATAGCTATTTTTGTCATTAGTTTTTAAGTGTGTGATCATGAATTTCTCTGCTATTACATTTCAGTTCATTTCCATTATTCTGGTCCTCCAATTAATTGAATTCTTCCTCAGTCATTCTTCAGAACACACCAAGTAATTTTTAATTTTTTTTTTCTTATAGGAAAGAGACGTATACAGTAAATTCTTTACAGACTTCTTGATATTTAACTAGTGAAAGAATGAGGTAATGTGAAAAAGCTTGTTATTTTTAAAACTTAAACATTTATATTTTATGTGATCTTACCAATAAATGGATATAGAAACTGAAGAGTTGAAAGAATTAGATAACCTACAAGACCATATGTCTTTCTGACCAGCTCTTGATAGCTGTTGGTACTGGAGAGGTTTCCTCCTTTGATCAGCAATATAATGGAATAATCTGTTAAAATATAAAATTACTGTTAAAGACAGTATGAACCAACTTGTGGTTGGTTACTGCTCATTTTTTTCACCCCTTAAAAAAAAAGTCTGTAAGAAGGAAAACAGTGGCACTGGGAAGAGCAAGGATGAGAAATCTCACAAAGGATCTCAATCCACCAAAACCAGGACTTATAGGCTCATATTGGAAGGAAATTCCAGCTTTCCGGATTAGTGACAGCAGAAATAGACTCATTTTCATTGGTTTCCAGTATGGTCAAAGGGAGTGAGACATGTCACGAGCACCAAAAAAGGAAAATTCAATTAATAATGCAGAGGGCTCCTGAATGGATGGAGCATTTGATTATATCCTGAAAGGGGGTAAAATGTGTCATGGTGCTAGAACTCTCAGTCATTTTACTCAGCTATTTATCTAAGTTTGTGAAAGATAAAGCCTGGTTAGTATTTTGTGTCTTCTCCATTGTTTATGTAAAAATATTATAAACATTTTTATTGGATACTTTTAAAGTAAAACACGCGCAAAGTGATTTATCTGGAAAACCATGAAGCAATGTGCCTTGAGACAGAGCTGATGTCACAGGCAGAATTACTCCCAGACTGAACCTCAAGTTTTTATGAAGAACAGTTCAAAATATTGGTGTTATGTCAAGCTATGCTTTAGTATTCATTTGAGCACCTTGGGCTTTTCCAGTTCAGATTAGTTATAGCACAGAATTTATTACCTTGGTGCAGATGTCTTGACAGATAGTAGCTAGACCTTGTCTACTCCTCATCTGGCTTTCACTTAGCTTGTAATCTATGCTGCGATAGGAACACTTCCTTTCTGTGAACAGTATCGGTGTTTATTATCTTCCGGGAATGACTAAAATTACGAAATTTTCACAATCTTCACAAAGGAGATTTCTACCATTTGTTAACGTGAAAGCCAATCCAGAGATTCCCATGAGCCTGCGCAATTTTTACACAATATATACTCACTTACACTATAATTGGGAGCAGACAAAAGCAGAGATACAGAAGTCTTCATTATCAATTATATTGCATACTGAGCTGATCTTGTACAAAAAATATGGTTTTTTCAAAACTTGAAAAAGATGTATTGTTAAATGACCTAAAATTGTACTTGTCTGTCAATCTAGGACTACACACCGTATAATTCAAAAACATCCCCCAAAATAAAATACAGTGAGAATACATAAATTTAAATAAATAAATAAATAGCTAAATAACAGCTATTTGCCAATTATTCAGTAAAAACTATAGAAAATAAATGCTAATGTTACATACTTAGCCTGTACTTTAAATGCTGCAAGTCAAAAAGTTGTAACTATAGTTATAATTTGCTTGTGCAAGATATATTGAGCCCATCTTTAACATAATAAAATGCTGAGTTTAATTCGTAGGTTCTGGGCCTATGGCTATAAAATCTTCAAAATAGTTAGAAATGCAAAGGACAAATCTGATTTCCTACAGAAAAGTAACTGAAGTTTCTGAGCTATGTTTATGATATGATTTTGCTACCAGCCATAGAGAAAATTTTCTATTCATAAGGAACATATTCCTCATGTTATATTGCTCTCCAGTCAAACCTCGATCGTTTATACAGACCCTTAAATGTATTTTGCTACCAGCCATAGAGAAAATTTTCTATTCATAAGGAACATATTCCTCATGTTATATTGCTCTCCAGTCAAACCTCGATCATTTATGCAGACCCTTAAATGATATTTTAAGCAATGAAAAGCATCAACTGCTGCTCAGCATACAGGTAGCAGAATTTGTGCCATTCGTGTCGACTTGGTTTGTTGTTTTAAGACTTGAATCCACAGAGTCCTTACAAAAATTCTCCTTTGATGCCAATGGATTTACTTATGTTTATTTACCATGTGATTTCAAAACTTGTCCTTTTTTGAAGGTAAATCCATTATTTTTTCTGATGAATGATAATTAAATAAAATATTAAAAATCATAGTACAACCAAAGGTTTTCATTCTGCGGTATATTTAAAAAAAGTGATATACAACCCACTCAAAGATCAGTCTCTTAATTGGGTAAAAACAGTGGACTAAAACAGGTGATTATGAGGCACAAATAAGAGCTATTCTTCCAAATGTCACCTTGACCTAGTCTAAGAAACTAGGCTTTACGAAAATAAAATGCACACAAAAAGCAGCTTTATATGTTGTACAGTATAATTCTCTACTTTTACTAATCTGCTCAAGGGATTAGTGAGGTAAGGAAAAAATTTGTCATTTTTATTGTCATAGATATACTTGTTTAAGGTATCATTAAGCTCAAGATCAACTAAACATTGCAAGACTAATTTTCACTTTACAACAGCAACTGATTTTAGAGTACCTGTGATGTAGGCAACCCCAAATAAAAGCAGTACTCCTAGTGGAAAACCAGCTTCCTTCATTGAATATGGCAATCCTGTAAATGAGAAAAGCAGAGATTATAGAAGAACCTTTCCAAATACTTATTTGTGATGACCAAATAAAGAAATATTCAGATTTTTTAAAAAATGCTATCAATCTCCCAAATTGGACCAGCATGCTTAATAACCTCAGAAAGATTATTTTTAGTGGACAAAGTGTTGCCTAGGTGTGAAGTTCAGTCAGCACTTGCCCAACCAGTTCTCTCTGGCGATTATGGCAAAGAGGCTGTAGGGTATTTATCACTGTGAGACGTGATCTCAGCTGACACCTCTGCACTTTTGCATAGTAAGCAAATAAAAATAGAGAAAAATCTTTAGGAACAGCAGCAGAAAGAAAGATGACAGTGTTATTCTCCAAACTGGATAGTCATGCATGTATAAACAAGGCTGAACACAGGATAGTGAAGAAAAGTATACTCACCTATAATGCCTGATCCTATGATAGAGTTGATAATGTTAAATCCAGCTGATGCCAGATCACTGTTTCCTCCTTTATTCCTGGGCTTACTAACAAGGGCTGTTTGGTCATCTGTTTCTACCTATTTCAGGAAGACAATGATAACATTATACATGAGAAAAATAGGTGAGAACAAGGATTTTACACATAGTCTATTGAAGATGAAAAAAAATTGTCATAGACTTAGATTTGCAGAAATATTTTGATAACTAAATCCCATTTTTTTTCAGTGAGAAATCAAAGAGGTGTTAGGCATCTAATTCCTGTATAAGTCTGACCCATAATCTTCTGTAATTAATTCTTCTCTGAAAAAAAATAAGTGGAAGGACAGAAATGTATATAACCTCAGAGGTAGGCTGTTAAACAAAGAGCTTTTTAGTCATATTCCAAAGCCAGAAATGTGAATCAAGCATTTTTGAAATATTTTGGCTAATACAACTGGTCAGTAAAAATAGGCCCCTGAATCAGGGGAATGAAATCAATTTCAAGAGTTAGTGGTAAAGCATGCCAACATCTGAAGATGCTCTAATTCAAGGTTTTATCCAGCATTTTAAATATTTGTGTCAACCACTGGTTTAGTTCATTATGAATAGTTAACAACACTATAAAATTGGCTAGTCCCAGAAAGTTTCCGTGGGAAGGTCTGGTACAAACCAAAGTTCAAAGCACAATTTGTAGCCAGTAGCTTCAAAAATTGAAGTTCCTATCTTCAAAAAGCATTTTTTCATAAGCATACAGTGGTCCTCTCCTTAGATCACCACTCTGCTGTCAGAGAACATTTTAGAATCATTCATTAGAAGGCCAGTATTTCAAATGATGTCATGTAAGTCAAAAGAGGAACATGCATTTAATGAAGAAAATGCCTGCCTGAGTTCTACAAAAGCAAAACATTGTGTACTTACCATGAAAATAAAACCACTATTTCATGGATGCAGGAGCGTATTTAACATATATAGCAGGTAGTACAAACTCAGATGCTTGTCACTAATACTCGGGGAAAAAAAATTAAATGACTGATAAATCTAAGTCATCTGTAGTTAGAGGTATAAGCTGACACGCATAAGACTGCCTCAAGGAGGACTACATATTTAAGTGGAACCTTTAATCCTTAAGCTGTACTAACATAAGAAGAGTATTACTGGCTCAGATCAAAGGCCAGTATAGCCTGGTATCCCATTTCTGAGAGTGGCCGTGGAAGGTGCCTAGGGAAGAGTATAAGAACATGAAAAATAGATAGTTAGCAAATAACTTTCCTGTCTCAGCTTTCATCAGTTTGCATATCACAGACTTCCTGAAGCAGATATGTTCTTGGTGCATCACACCCCTTAACAGGTTGCTCCTTGAATTTGCCCTTCTTTGAAGCCATGTATATTTTTTAGCATCTGCAATGCCATATGGCAATGAATACCAGATCTTAATTATACATCATATGAAAAGACAGGTACTCTTTTTCATTCTGAATCTACAATTAAATATTTCCACTTCACGTCCCAAAAATTTTTGTACCATCACAGACAAACCAACCATTGTTTCCTACTTACCTTCTCCCTATCACATGCAGTTTTATAGGTAACATTCTCCCTCAGCTGTTTCTCATCTAGACTTACAGGTGCTACATTTTATTTCACCACTGATTTGAGCAGCAGAAGCATCACTGTCATTCTCTCCTTAAATTTTAATGCTCTCTGACACTTACAGCACAGTACACATGACACTGCGCTGAACTAGAACAGTCCAGTTTCCTCTTTTCAGTTGTTACAAGAAAATGAACACATGTGCATTGTACAGCTCAAAGACTCTGTCATGAACCCTGGTCCCTTCCCCACTTCGAAGAGACAATTTGAATTGGCAAAAAGGACAAGAAAGGGCAACAGAAATTGTGACACAGGTGAGAATGGTTCCTGTGTGAAGGCTAGTGCTCTTGAAGGTGCACTTGGACTGCAGACAGGGGAGGGAATGCCTGTTGGGAGGTATGCTAGTGAGCCACTCAACACGGAGGGCTGCTGAAGAGGTGAATGGGATGCATTTGCCTCTTGTAAGGTCCTCTCCCAGAGACCAGTCGCAGGCCATGAGACAGCCAGGGCTACCCACTATCGTATTGATAGTAGCGGGCCCACCAGGAGATAGGGTGCTCAACTTCTGGTCCTCAAGCAAGACTGAGTTTTAGCTGTGCCAAGCAGCCACAGTTCCCCGACCTCACAAGAATAAGACCCCTCAGATTCCATTTTTTTCCCTGCGTGGTACCCATGAGTCTTTCTTCCTCATACGAATTAGGGGGAAACTGAACAGAGATGAAAAAGCTGTAGCTGCTGTCAGTCCCGGGCCGGGACGCTTCAGGCAGCTGGTCACTATAAAGCCCGCCAA